CTCAGAATTACTCAACCATCACTACAAAACGGTCATTTTCAGGGCCACCAAAAAGTTGTTAAAGAATATTATTTGGACATTGGTCAAGGTCATCAGTTCCCAAAAGCAGCTAGCTATCAAGGCTCAACCTGTCTATAGAAGGTGTGGAATAGTTGGCCTGAATATATTGGTGTAATTAGTTTTTCCTCGGCTTTCATTCCACACGATTCGTTTCTTTCGTTTAATCAATCACCCTTGTAGTGACTTTGGAAAAAATTGTTTCGATCGGCGCTTACATATGAAATTTAATGTAGATTAAAGAATTTTTTGTATGTTACCAAAATTTATGAATGGTTTGCCACTAATTGTTGAGATAATTTATTGATTATTGAATTATCACACTGTATTCCATGAAAAAGCAGCCTGTTTGTGAGTTTTTGCCTGTTTTCAAGTAAGGAGTTATCATAAAAAAACAAATCGCCAACTGGTATTTCCCGGCGATTTTTCAAATAAATAAAATCAAACAAAATCATCATGCAGAACTAGCTAGGATTTGTTTTACTTCATATTTCACAAAATTGCTTTCGAGTGTTAAGACATCGTCTCCCGCAAAGTTTACATTTTTCCTCTACCAACACATACATCAGGGCTAGATAGATCTCCACAGGATCTATAGAATCCACGCAATTTCAAAAAACAAAAATGCACAGCATTACGAAAAGAGGTCAGGTTTCGACCAATAGCAGATAGATTTTAATTCTAAACAAGCCAAACGATTGGAAATTTATCTACCAATCTCAATCTCACACTATTGAAAAATACCAAATGTCCAACTGTTGCAATGGTGATCAAAATTATCACCGAATGTCTGAAAACAGCGCATTCCCTTACACAGACTTAAAAATCGAGTTCGATGCGGTCCCACTGAACGGTGCTCATTCAATCACCGCAAGTGGTGGTGTCCAGTCCAGCAGCAGCAGCAGCAGGAGTGCTTTCAACAACAACAACAACAACAACGAAATGCTGCCTGCAAGCAGCGAGCTGCAGAGCTCATATGAGCAACACCATAGAGAAGGAGGAAAAAGTCCCACCGCTAGGCTAGGATCGGAATCAGTAGCTCGTCGTGCTCAGCTCAGCATTACTCAACCATCACTACAAAACGGTCCTTTTCAGGACCACCATAAATTTGTTAAGAGTATTATTTGGACATTTGTCAAGGTCATCAGTTCCCGCAAGCAGCTAGCTATCAAGGCTCAACCTGGTATCTATAGAAGGTGTGGAATTGTAGGCCCGAATGTATTGGTGAAATTAATCATCCTTCGACCATTTTCCAGAACACGCTGGTAGGAAGTGTTAAAAATCCATATAGAATTTGAGAGAAGTGGGAATAATTCGTTTTGGGTGTATATTCAGTCCCCAGAAAGCCAATAAAATCAAATTTGTGAGAAAATTAGCTCTCACGAGTTCAATCTCTCGAAGTTCCTCCTTTTTTACATATTCTGCACAAACGATACTTTCCGCCCCACCCCATTCATATAATTCGGAAGGAAATCCTGTGAGGGGTTAATTGAATACACTTTAATACCAAAATGCACAAAACTTAAAAATTCATAAATAACAAAACATTCCAAAATACACCTGATACGCTTACAAATAAAAAAACGGAAAAAGTTAAGATAATTGATGGTTGATCAATTAAAAGAACTAAATGTTCACATTTGTTCCGTCCACTAGTCCACCGTCCACGCATATATACCGGAAATCAATGTATGACGCTATTTTGAAATCCAAGATGGCGACTTCCGGTTGTAGAAAAACTGTATTGATTCAAAATTGAGGGATAATTTTTAGCGCAAGGGTGTTCTTTGGTGCAAAATGGGCAATACAGATTATCGAAAATAAAAGTTTTTTAAAAACATTTAGGCTTCAAAATTATCCAGATAGACATTGTTAATATAATTATCCGGATAGACCTACCCAGTGGATATAAATAAACGTAGTGTATCCCTATGCACATTTTTTTCCTTCGGATAATATTCAAGATAAAATTATCCGGATAATTTTAACTTGGATATTATCCATTATGTTTCCCTCCGGATAGTGTCCGGAGTACTCCGAACCGGTTATGTTTAGAATAGGCATGTTTGATAGCAAATATGTAATCATCAATCTGGGTATTTTAGGAATCAGTATGATGTCTAGAGGCCGGAAGTTTATATCGGACACCATTTTGAAATCCTAGATGGCAGCTTGCAATTTACTAAAAATTAGGAAATATTGTTAAATACCCATCATTTTTGGTATTTTTTTAATCGGGATGATATCCAGAAGCCTAAAATTGATGGTGGCTTCCGTATTAATAAAAAGTGGGAAATATTCTACAATCTGGGTATTTTCGGGGGTGACCTGTAGATGCCGAAAATTGATGTCCGACGCAATTTTGGAACCCAAGCTGGAAGCCATTGGTTTTAAAATGTGTCAAATACCCTACAATATAGGTATTTTCGGATAAGCGTTAAGATTTGTTACCGAGAAATTTCTGTTTGTTAGCGAAGACCTCAGCAAAATTTCCGTTTTTTAGCTCAATCTCGGCAAGTTTTCACTGAGATCCAGCAAAATAAAATGCTTAACTACTCGATGTGCAGGAGACGACGTATAGAGGCTGAAAATCGATGTCCAACATCTTATTGGATTCCAAGATGGCAGACATTGGCTTTTAAAAACACGTGACATACCTTACAATATGGGTATTATCACCTCGGAAATGACGCCTGTAGGCCGAATATCGATGTACAACGCCATTTTTGAATGCAAGATGATGACCACCTGTTTTAGAAAAAGTGTAAAATATTATACGATATGGTCGGCATCGGGGATTCCATAATGGCTTCGGACATCAATTTTCGGCATCTACACGTCGTCCCTATTTCAAAAATACCCATATTGTAGGGTTTTTGCCACTTTTTTTTTTAACGGCAACGGATATTCATTTTCGGCATCTACACGTCTTCTTGGTTCCGAAAATACCTAAATTGTAGGGTATTTAACCCATATTGGAGGGAATTTGCTAGTATTTCCCAGTTTTACTACAACCGGAAGCCGCCATCTTGAATTTCAAGATGGTGTCAGACATTGATTTCCGGTCTTTATACGTCATCCCGATTCCAAAAATACCCATATTGAAGGATATTTGACATTATTTCCCAGTTTTTATACAACCGGAAGCCGCCATATTGGATTTAAAGATGGCGTCAGACATTGATTTCCGGTCTTTATACGTCATCCCGATACCAAAACTACCCATATTGAAGGATATTTGACATTATTTCCCAGTTTTTAAATAACCAGAAGCCGCCATCTTGGATTTCAAAATGGCGTCAGACATTGATTTCCGGTCTTTATACGTCATCCCGATTCCAAAAATACCCATATTGAAAGATATTTGACATTATTTCCCAGTTTTTCTATAACCGGAAGCCGCCATCTTGGATTTCAAGATGGTGTCTGACATTGATATCCGGTCTATAAACCTCATCTTGATTCCAAAAATACCCATATTGAAGGGTATTTGCTACTATTTCTCAGTTTTCCTATATCCGGAAGTTGCCATATTGGATTTCAAGATGGTGTCTGACATTGATATCCGGTCTAAATTGGTCATCCCCATTCCGAAAATACCCATATTGAAGCGTATTTGCTAGTATTTTCCAATTTTCCTACAACCGGAAGCCGCCATCTTGGATTTCAATGGCAATGATTTCCGGTCTTTATACGTCATCCCGATACCAAAAATACCCATATTCAAGGGTATTTGACAGTATTTCCCAGTTTTTCTACAACCAGAAGCCACCATATTGGATTTCAAAATGGCGTCAGAAATTGATTTCCAGTCTCTAGACATCACCCCGATTCCGAAAATACCCATATTGAAGGGTATTTGACATTATTTCCCAGTTTTTCTATACCCAGAAGCCGCCATATTGGATTTCAAGATGGTGTCTGACATTGTCTATATACGTCATCCCGATTCCGAAAATACCCATATCGAAGGGTATTTGACAGGATTTCTCAGTTTATCTGCAACAGGATGCCGCCATCTGGATTTCAAGAAGGTATCGGTTATCGATTTCCAGACTATAGGCGTCACGTGGACTCCAAAAATACCCATATCGAAGGGTATTGGTCAGACTTCAAAATGATTTCTAGTTCCTTCGCTACCAATATTGTCTATCAAAATATTTGGCAATTGAATTAATAACTGTCGCTTGGTACAAATATTTTACTCACCTTTTTGGGAGCACTGCTATTTAATTCTTGCCAATGTTCCGAACCAAGAACGGTATACCCGGTTTTGGTAACATATAATTTGAACCCTGCACACGGTTTATATCTCGTGTACCAAAACCAAAATTCTAGCACACCGGTTTTCGGTTTTCAAGCTGCGGTTCTGAACATCAACTCGAAAACCGGCACACGGTTTTGATTTAGAACACACTGGTACACTAAAACTCAACCGAACCAGGGTACACGCTTACATAAACACAGGAGTATTTTTTGAACACGAACCATCACACGGTGCGCACCGGTTGGTTCAGTTGCCCATCACTGCAAAAAATCCCGGAATAAGTTCGTTTCAGAGCTATTAATTTTGTTCAGGGAAAACACAATCTGATTCTCTAAAGAGAACCTCTTCAAACCTTCAATGTAAATAATGATGTTGTTGAATGTGAATGATATTATGTATGTACTGCAAATCATCCGACATCAATGAACTGCCGTCTGCCAGAGCCGAAGAAGTTAGTCGATCCCGCAACTAATGCAATTCGAATGCTATGGACTCCTAACAACTTTCAACGCTTTTTTTTAACAGATACCCGGTAGCAGATTTGCAAAAAAGCAACCCAAGCTTCGATTCTCAATTAACTTTTCCCGTTGCTTTTTTGCACGTCTCCAATCCCACAATTTTTCAATTCAAAAGCTGTTCAAACTAATCAATCGTTTCTCTGATTCCACTTTTCCAGGCCCGGCCAGAGAGATTATGCACCGCAGCTGAGCCATCCGAGCGATCCAATCCAATCCAGCACCCAAGATCAGACAGAGCCAGACAAAGAGAGGGACAGCAGCAAGAAAATGTAAGTTTTCCAAAGCTTATCAGGATTCATCCGCGTGACTGTTTTACATCTTATGATCATTTTGCGCAAAGATGGAACTTTTGCCACTTTTGCTAGTGTTCCAATTGCTCACCTTCATTACACCTGGGAAAGGTATGCGGGCTTGGGACGGATGGGCAAAACAAAAACTTTGATTTCTCTTCGTCCCTCCGGAAATGAAGTGATTCGAAATGAAAAGAATCCTCAACTGGCATCGTGCTGTGCCTGCCGCCCTCCTCACCTAGCAGTAGTCTATTGGATTTGCGCTGGAAACGCTCACAGCTGCCGTCTATATACCTACTTACAACTACTGTTCCCCTTTGACAGACACAGAAGGTTAACTATGCGATCGGAGCTTGCTGGCCCATGAATTCAAAGCAATTTTTCTCATTTGTTTACTTCGAGGACCGTCCTCTCTATCCCTCGTCTCAGTTATTTTCTTTTGTTACAAGCTGTAAAGTTTCCCGGGGTGGAAGGGGGGGGGGATGAAAAATCAATTTCTTCATTCTTTGATGATTTCTCAAAGACCCTCCCTCCCCCGGATCCTTAACCCGGTTTTCGGAAGACTTTATTATTAAAGAGTAATGGGATCCCTTGGCGTTGTTTTCCTTCGGTCTGTCAACAAAACTCACCCCCCGCTTCTCCTGGGAAAGCAGTTCGGGAAAAGGCTTAGCTCAGGGATTATCGCTGTCAATGGGTTGGTCGGCGGTGAGTCCAAAGGGAGATTTTTCGATTAAGTTTTTTTTTTCAATTCATTTATTTTGAAGGCTCAATTGCGGTAGCTTTACCGGGCCAAAATTTCATTGTTGTTTGACGTTTAACTCAAGGTTAAAAAGAATTCCATTATTAAGGGAAGGATCATAAGAAAAGCGTGGAAATGGGGTGCTGTGAAATTCGATAAAATTTCTAGAAGGGAATCACCGCTCAGCACCCAGCAGATAAAAGACCCAGTTCTGACGCTTCTAGTGGAGAGCGCCCTGCTTCGGCATCTATCCATTTGGAAATTGAAATTCCATTTTTTTTTTCTACCCCCTCCTCTCTGATCCGTGCATGGGGCTATGCTATGCTAGTTTGCATGCCGCTGCTGCTGCTACCGAGAAGAAAGCTGAACAAAATCAAATATTAGCTCACATGCTCAAGACTTTCCAAATAGACTTCTACATCTTGTGCTGAAAGTGTGTCTGTGAGTGTGTGAGTGTGTGTGTGTGTGTAGGTGGATGGGTGCTCTCCATATCCCTTTTCTATTGGCGACGACGATGCAAGTAAGCAGTAAGTAGGGGAAGAAAGTTTTTTTTTTCTCTGTTCGGGTTTTAGAAGCTCTTCATAGAAAGGAATATCGAACCTGACGCGGTTTACGGGATTAGAACGCTCCATTTGTGATCGTGGAGGGAGGGAGGGTTTTGAGGAGAGGATGGTTGTTGAACGGGTTCTTCATCGGATTTCGTCAGAGTTTCAGCCTGGCTGTTTGGTTAGCGTTTGGAGTATGGGCCTAAGATAAAGAAATTGAGTTTTCAGGTGCTCTTTAAAATTTCTGTCATGGTTGTAAAGGGTGGGTCACTTAGAGCAGAATGTTGTTACGGAATGTTTTTGAAAATTCTGGGAATGAAACAATACAGCTTTCTAGGTTCAGCTGATATTTATTTATACTTAGATAGTCAAAAGGCAGTTTTCACTACCTTTTGATAAATTTAAATATTTATTTCAGACAGTTTTCCGGGAAAATTTTCAATGGAATTCATTGAGAAATTTGACAGAAAGCGGAAGAACCGGAGGAATTTCCTTTAAGTCATCTAAAACAATTTCAGAGAGAACGTTTTGTGAATTACAGGAGTAATTCCATGGAAGTAATCCAAGAGTGTTGCTGGAGAAATTTGATGAAAATGTTAAAAGCAATAAGCAAGAAAATTCCAAAATATTTCTAGAATTAAATCTAGAAGGAAATTCTTAAAAACTGTTGAAATGAATTCTTATGAATACATTTTAAAAGAATGTTAAGGAAATTCTAGAAATAATTCTTAAGTCGTTCCAGGAGAAATTCCAAGGAAATTTCGTATGAATTTCCAAGGATGTTCCATGAAACTTTCGAGATGGATTACAGATGGATTAACACGGCAATTCAAAGAGAAATTATGAGAGGATTTGTGGATTTGTGAATTCAAACCAAAAGTCCAGGCAAAATTCATGACAAATTTTGAGTCAATTCTATGATGAATAGACACGGAGGAACAGGAACCGGAGGAGTTCTTTAAATATTGCAGGAAGCATTTCATTTTCCAGGAATAATTTCTAGGGACTTAAGAAGGAATTCCAAGATAATGTTTGAACGAATCCTCTAAAATATTCAGGTGAAAATCAGATGGGATAGAGATGCAATTGAACAGCTCCATGTCAAATAACAAATCGATAAAACTGCATGAATCTTTGTATAATTGTTATGGGAAATGATTCGCATTTTTGCTAAAATTGCTAAACTGATAAAATTTACCAAACGGGGTTTTGAAATTTTTCCAAAAAATTGTAGCACTGAAACTGCCCTTCTTGTCAAAATGACGTCTGAGACAAAGTTGTAGAGTAAAATAATGTTGTACAAAAAATTTTTTCATGTTAAAATTCAAAAATAAATGTTAATAAGATAAATATTAAAAAGAAATACCTCTTCTGACTTTTTAAATAAAATCCCATGAAAAAAGCAAACTTTTGAAATGTTTAAAATTATGGATGCATCAAAATTAGCAAAAATTGTACAACAAGAACTTTTGGTCAAATTTTTGAACGTTTTGTCAAAACATTTTTTTTGTGTAATTTAACGGTGCCGGTGGTGTAGTGGTAAGCGTGATTACCTCTCACCCCAGCAGGCCTGGGTTCAATCCCAGTCGGCGCCGCCGGGATGTTCTGAGGCATAACATCTCTGATCACGCCTTCCTTCGGATGGGAAGTAAAGCCGTTGGTCCCCGGTTCATGAGTTGATGGGTCGATAGGTAAATAGGGTCCAGGTGTGGGAGCTGCCTTCCTGGCACGTCGGTAGCATTGGTGCTCAGCACGGAAAACAAGATCGACGGAAAAAACAAACCAAAGGAAAAAAAAAAAAAAATTGTGTAATTTATACTCAGAAAAAAGGGTTGCTAAATCATTTTCTGTGAATAAAATACACAAAATAGTACACACATAAAGTTCATTTATGGGAAATGGCTCTAATGTTGGCCTATGGAACGCGTCATTAGGACGGTATCAATGGATATTGTTGGTCGCTATTGAAAATTTAGTCGATTGTTGAATTTATGTGTGGGTTCAAATTAAAGGGTGATACGGTCAAAATTTGGTCAAGGGAAAACGCGTGTAAATCGGTGAAATCGTTTATTTAAAAAATCAAATTAAATTTCTTTTTCAAGTTCAATTAGTATAAAATTCAGGAAAAATATTCAGTTAGGCTTCCGCTTTTCCAAATCCGAATTGCCGGGCCTTACGCTTGACCCCTGCCATCAGATTTTGTACAGCCACCATGTCCACCTTCTTCGCCGCAGAAAGCCAGTTTGCCTTGAACTGCTGCTCGCCCTTAGCAGTTTTTTTGGTCTTCTTTAGGTTCCGCTTGACAATAGCCCAGTATTTCTCAATTGGGCGGAGCTCTGGCGTGTTGGGAGGGTTCTTGTCCTTGGGAACCACCTGCACGTTGTTGGCGGCGTACCACTCCATGGCCTTTTTACCGTAATGGCAAGATGCCAAATCCGGCCAAAACAGTACGGAACAACCGTGTTTCTTCAGGAAAGGCAGCAGACGTTTATTCAAACACTCTTTCACGTAAATTTCTTGGTTGACAGTTCCGGAAGCTATGAAAATGCTGCTTTTCAAGCCACAGGTACAGATGGCTTGCCAAACCAGATATTTCTTTGCGAACTTTGACAGTTTCATGTGCTTGAAAACATTTGCTACCTTTCCCCTTCCTTTTGCCATATAAAACTCCTGTCCCGGAAGCTGCTTGTAGTCGGCTTTGACGTAGGTTTCGTCGTCCATTACCACGCAGTCAAACTTCGTCAGCATCGTCGTGTACAGCCTCCGGGATCGCGCTTTGGCCGTCGTATTTTGTTTATCATCGCGATTTGGAGTCACTACCTTCTTGTAAGTCGATAGTCCGGCTCGTTTTTTGGCTCGATGCACGGTTGTAGACGATACACCCAGCTTATTTGCGGCATCTCGGAGAGAGAGGTTAGGGTTTCGCTTGAAACTACCGGCAACTCTCTTTGTCGTCTCAGCGGCTTCCGGTTTTCGATTTCCCCCCGATCTAGACTTCCTGGCTGTCGACAAACGTTCCCCAAACACTTTAATTACATTTGTAACGGTTGATTTGGCAACTTTTAGCGATTTTGCCAACTTTGCGTGCGAGTAGCTCGGATTTTCGCGATGCGCGAGCAAAATTTTGATACGCTGCTCTTCTTGCTTGGACGGCATTTTGACAACTGAAGAGTGAATTCCAAAATCAAAATAGGAGCAACATTCTACACACACACACCTTCAAAATGAGGGGTGTTCAGGTTTTTTAAATGCAAAATTGAAAGAAATACGTCAAGTTGATATTGACCAAATTTTGACCGTATCACCCTTTAGGAGCATTTAGGCCGACATTACATCCATTGCCCCTACTGACCACAAGCTCTTGTCTTATATTTTTTGTCAGTATCAGGTGTGCATACATTTGAACATTCCAAAAAATTTCACCTTTCGTCAGCTTTTTTTTAAACTTCCAAAATCGGACAAGGACACTTTGAAAAATTTGTTTTATTGAATTTTTATTTTAAATAAATGAACAACACTTTTGTTTATTATTCTCAAATGAACTACATTATTTTTCTCTGAAACTTTGTCACAGACGTTAATGCGATCAAAACTGCCATTTTCACGCAATATTTTTTTGAAAAAAATAAATTAGGTAGCCATTTTGAAAGTTTGGCAAGATCCCAAATGTCCGAATTTTAGCAAAAATTTAAATC